AAAAGAGAGAATTTTACATAGTCGGCGAAACGTTTTCGAAGATATCTCGTGATCCACAAGGCTGATTTTGACGATTCAACCACCATTAGATTCCTCTCAACGAGCTCTACAACTTCAATTAGAAGCACAAAGGTAGTTAACTTAGTACAAAAAAAGTTTTAGAATGATGCAGCCCACATTCGCAAAACCCTAATTTCTATAATCTTTATTTGGATAGAAATATAATAGTGAATAAATTTGTATATAAGTTTAGCCAACTAAGAACATATTTATAATTTACCTCTAATTATAAAATAAAAATAGAATCACTAAAGTAAAAAAAGAAATGAAAAAATCAATAATTTTGCTTTAAATTAATTAATACATACTGCTTACTTAACAATAATATTTAATAGTATTTATTTTAAACTTTAACTATAAATTTTAATTAAATATTATAAAAATTTATATTTAATTGGCTAATCTGTATATGATATATTTCATATAATAAAAATTTATTAGCTAAACTATTATATATAATTAGGATTATTATTTTCTTATTTGGAACATTTTTACTTCAACTATTGAATCTAACTGATTTATTAAAATACAATATAAAAACAGTATAGAGAATAATCGAATTTGATAATTTATAAAATCAATATTACACAAGTTTTGTATAGGATAGTAGTGTAAGACCAGAATTTTTGGATATAAGTGAACTAAAAAAAAAACTAAACATCCAACTTTACTAATAAAATACTATTATAATGAACATCTTGTCAAGAAACTAAGTTGCATCATGTTGTATCTTGCTATACAAGATAGATCTCTTAATAGTTGAAGTACTATCTACCGTATAGTAAAAAGTAAGAAAATTAGATTGTACTGCTTAATTCACAAAGTTTAATGTTGTTTTTTCAATTATTATTTCAATTATTAACTTGTTAATTTTTATCTACAAACTTATGCAGACTTTCTTTTAAAGTTATACATGCTTCTTAAAAGATATTTAATATAGTAAAACATGTACGATAGTATAATTTCATTAATTGTGCAAAATTTTAAGAAAAACTATTGAAGAATGTATAAGTGTACATTATTCGACATTTCATATGATCATGTGAATTTTTTTGCCATGATATTTTTTACATGAAATTACGTAATCAGTTTTGCAAAATATCACAGAAAAAACTTCACATGGTCATATTAACTATCCAATAACAACATTATTGAACATACGTATGACAAATAACAGTCAATTGTTTTTTTCATCGGAGTTAATTTCACTCATGTGCTGCTACGCAGCACATGGAGTTCTGACAAAAAAAACAATTGACTGTTATTTTTTGTCGTCTGTCCAATAATGTACACTTATTGAACAGATGACAAAAAATGACTGTTATTTGTTGTATGTACATATGTTCAATAATGATATTATCAGATATTTAATATGACCATGTGAAGTTTTTTCTGATATTTTTGATATTTTGCAAAACTGATTATGTAATTTTATGTAAAAAATATCATGACAAAAAAATTCACATGATCATATAAGTGCTGCCAAGAGAAAAGGGCACCTCCGTTTTTTAATCAATTAATAATTCAATAATTGATTAAAAAACTGAGGTGCCCTTTTTCCTTGGCAGCACTCATATAAAATGTCGGATAACTTGTATTAAAAATCTTTTAAATGGGTTTTTACAATTGTAAAATTGCTGTTATAATGTGGATGAATAGTCTGATTCCTTTACAACGCGAATTATTTTACTTCAAAGTTAAACTATGAACGAAATCGTAATATACGAGTAATGCCCGTTGATTGGCTGCCTTAGTTCAACGATTATCCATCTGTTTTGATCATGTGTTAATAAAGCGGTTTCTGATTGGTTAATTATCATATGACAAAGCCCGAAAAGTATAAATAAACTTTAATGAATTGTGGAACGATCTTCCCGACTATTTCCTAATTTGGGAAGGTCTCACCTGTTACAACATATTTTAATAAAAATACAAAAATCCAAAATTACATAAACAGGCTATATTACTTATTTCTAGTTACATATAAATCTTCTAAATGTCCGTTCTCCATATTAAATACCCATCCATGAACAGATAATTTTCGCTTTTCATCTTTCCATGCTTCTTTAACAACTTCATTTTCAGAAATTTTATTTACTTGATTAATTACGTTAACACTTACTAATTTTTTATGAATGGCATCTATTTCACTTTTGTTCATTTTGGATTCGGTAATTTGATCGGGAAAAAGTTCAGGGTGAGAATCTTTGATTTTTCTTATGTCAGATAACCAAAATTTTAAATTTTTACGGAGAACGTATTCTTTATAAGCATTTTGAATACCTCCACATTTAGTGTGTCCTATTAATTATAATATTGAATAAAAGAATTTTTTTTTGCAGCAATACTCATGAATTAAATACACAAACTTACCACAGACTATAATGTGTTCGACCTTTAGGTTATGAACCGCAAACTCTAATTCAGACATACAATTAACGTCATCTTCTTTAAATTGATTCGCAATATTTCTGTGCACAAATATTTCCCCAAAACCCAATTTTGCGATAATTTCTGCCGGTACACGAGAATCTGAGCACCCTGATGGTAGTGCACACAAATTGATGTATAATTGTGTTAAATTAGGTGACAAAAAATTGAGATCACAAAGATTTTAGAGTACGCCAATTCATGAATATTGACCCTAATTATAGGGAAATTAGGAAAAGGCATCTTCTTCAATCTTCATGAGTAATCATAAATTGAGTCTGATATAGGCGATGATGATACTCACCGATCCAAAATAATTTTGGCTGTTGTTCATTATTTGCTAAATTTTCAAAGAACTTTTTGTCTTGTAGTCGCACTGAATTTGCCCATTTCCTATTGTTATTAAACACGTCTAAAAGACCATTTTCTAGATCTTTAAATGATCTGGTAATGTCTGGAAGGTTAGCATTTATGGCAGGTTTTAATGCGGAAAGAGGGGGTATAACACTTCCTGTCTTTTTACTCTGAGAATCCTTTTGTATTCTTGGTAATAAGATTTCTGCAGAATTTGGTATCAATTTTTTGGGTACTGCGCTGGTTTGTCCCTCGGTACCGATATTTTTTAATGATTGGAAACTTTTAAACCAATCTGTAATATGTGCTTTAACGTTTCCTTTTAAAAGTATTCTAACTTTGAACCATGTATAGTGATCGAAAAAATATTAATTTTTACGATCGAATTCAATGGGTAAAAGCTAAAGACAAATAGTTTACATACCCATTTTGTTTAGAGAGATAAAAAAAAGTAAAAATAAAATAAAAAATAAAAAAAAATAAAAAAAGGGTCTATTTATTTAACATTTACACTAACATAATTACATCAGATCTATTAGTTATCCTATAATTAGATCTATTATGTAATTAATCATTATCTTATCAATTCTGTGTTCTTGCCAAACTTAATATCTTGCCAAACTTAATATGATGCAGAAAATCTTCAATGTAGATAAGTACGTACGTACGTACTACGTACAAGTTATACATCCATTCATTATAATAATAATGATATCCTCTACATTGAGTTAATGCCATATTGTCGTCAACTACCGTGGCGATCCGGAATGCGGCAAATCCATCTAACACAAATGCTGTGGTAATTGATGGATCATCTAGCTACAGCGAAAAAAACAGTAACAAATAGTGTCACAATATTAAACGATAGAAACCCAAAGTTTATTTTGGTTGGTTATTCTCTTGAACATAGTTACACGAAAAATACATATTCTATATTTTTGCAATAGAATTTTTGATCCGAATAATCAAGCCTTAGAAAATTGGGTTTACTAATTTCCCCCACACTTCACTATCGGAGTATCATAAAATTGATTAATAGCAAAGACACTCCGATATGTGAATAATTAGTAGAACCGATCAGAAGTGTAGTAAACTCGGAAAATTGGATTTTCAAATGAGAGAAATCAGGTATTATGGCGAAGTTAAGCATTATAGTTAATAATTGATTATGCATCCGAGCAGAATCAAATTTGGTAACATTAATTCGTCTTAATACGTAAGACGAATCAAATGGTACGTACGTACGTATGTACGTATCATTTGAAAATCATTACACAGTACGTATTATGGCGTAAGGTAAGTAACATGATCAAATAAACAATATCTTATAATTTAGTGGTCGGGAATCAAATAATTAGTGATTGGACCCGGGTGGTATTGTGACAATCCGGGTGGAAACAGGTGGGTCACCCGACGGGTCACCCAGCGGGTCACTCTTGGGTTACAGTTATTATCGTAATTCCTAAATCGGATTGAAAATATTATCCGTGACCCGTCAGGTTAATCATCAACCGGATACTGTTACGACCAAGGGAGAGACTTTGTATCCACTTAGCCAATTTAACTGAGGGCCGTAATCATTAACACTAATGAACTGACTGTTTTATTATCACAAACGACACCGTAAAAGTAACAAACAAATATCCTTGTGTTGTGTCCCAGACACTTTTACAGTACTAATATCCCTATTTCCACTACTAACTTAGCAAGTTCCAAACTTACTAAGAGTACAACTCAAACAACCCGAAAGACCAAACTAACTAAAAACTCAAAAGAAAAATCTCCATAACTAAATACATATCGCTCTATATATATCTATGAATAAACTCTAAAGTAAGCTATAGTCTATTTATAGTCTAATTAAGTATACTTTATATTTCGCATAAACTATTAAAATGTTACACAAAAGTATATACAAGTACGTACGTATGTATAACGAAAGTATAATGGTTACACGGCCAAAGTTTAATTGTGAAACTTCGTTGTGTAACAATACCTGAAATTTAAACAGAATACCCGATTACAGCTATTATCATAATTTCTGAGATGCCAGATAAAAATTAGCCAGATGATTTTTTGGCCGATTCAGTTAAGTTTCGTAATTTAAGATCAGGTAACTAATTTAAATACGAAGATTTCAGGTCAAATACAGAAACAAAGCATCTTCACTGGCGAATAATCGAAAAAAATTAAGAAGCTTATCATTTTGGAAATTGCAAAATATTTAGAAGTTAGCATTTAGTTTATAAGTCGAGTTCTCAAGCACTTTTGAAGATATGAATATATTGAAAACTTCTGCAGCACATTTTCAACAAATATTAATAAAAATCAAGATTTCTGAATGGAATCTTGAGTTACATTTTTAAACAAATCTACAAATTCTTGGTCATATCTAACTTTTTAATATCGGCACCTACTCGTGTAATATGATTATCTGAAGTCTTTTTATATTTAGCCTTTTTCATAAGTTTTCACAAATATTCGACCGAAAATTTAATAACATTGAACGTGTCAGTATTTATAACTGATAATGATAAAATTATTTTAGTATCATGTGAATTCGGTTGAAATTTTTAGATATACACAGTAATATGTACTGTATTTATCAGTAACAGAAATTTTACCATATAGCATGGTCTATAGTACCCAAAATTTTACTTAGTAAAAATTTCAAAATCACATATACAGTCGACTCTGGATATAATGAACTGTTATATAATGTACTCTGGATATAATGAACACAAAACTTTTAAAATTTCATAATAATTCGTTATAGAGTGCTATAGGTTCTTAAAAAAACAGTGATTTTTTATAGCGAACTTTTTTTTCTTTCCAGAACTGTCAATTCGTTATAGAAAGAGTTGATTGTATTATATATCTCATTAATTATTTGTCATGCTGGGTATTTTAGACCATGCTGTACGGTAATATTCTTACCCATAAATATAAGCAGGACCAATGATTTTCTGTAATGATAAATTGTTAATTCCATCCATAACAAATTCAAATTCTGCAAAATTTCTGTGCATTAAAATTTATAATTTCTGTGTAAATTCTGTGTTAATCATTTATAAATTCTGTGTTGGTTATATAGAAATCTTGAATATTCTGCAATCAATTTGTCATTTAGTCTTCAGATTATTTCGGTATTAAACAAAATTTTCGCTCGTATTTCAGGTTTATTTATTTTCTATATTAGAACTTTTTGGAAGTTATATTTTTAGAACCTTACACCTATAAAAAAAACCAAATAATTTATAAATCCATACTTTCTGCAGAAATTCTATGCTATTCTTAATATATTCTGTGTTTACAACCTAATTCTGTGATTTCTGTAGCATTCTGTGAAATGCAGAAAATCATCGACCCTGAATATAAGTATAGTTTTTTTGTTTTTTCTTTTGTTATCTTATTTGCTTTCTGTTACTAACTGGTTTTTGTCGTTTACAAGTAAAGTTGGATTTGATGTTTCATTTATTGATAAGTATAGCCTTTTTTTTGTTATATTTGTTTTGCTTTTTCTTTTTTTTTTTTACTAATTAGTCTGTGTTATTGGGTTATCATTTTGTCGTTCGCTAGTGAAATCATATTTGATGCTTTGTTTATTGATAAGTATAGCTTTTTTTTTTTGTTATATTTGCTTTGCTTTTTCTTTTTTTTTACTAATCAATTTTTTTTTTACAGTTGTCATTTGATGGTTAATCAGTTTTATGGTGTTAATTTGAGTTTTTGGTTGACATAATTGTTAGGTTTCTATTTCACGCTTGCCATTTCTATTGGTATAACTATTGGGTCTGTATTTAGCTAAAGTGATTCGCATTACTATTAATCTTGTAAAGGTGTTTAGCTTAATTACAAAAAGAGCCTGATTTGCAAATATATAGGTAAATTTTTTTATAGCGGGACATATAACAAAAATTTCTTATCCTGTTTTAAATATATATGTGATGCAATTTATAGCTGTTTTTAAAAAGGTGTGAACAGATGCAAATAACTATATTACAAGAAATTTATGAAATTACCCAGATTTCTAAAATTTTCAGAGCCAGATTTTCAATTTTTATTAATGATAATTTTCAATTCTTCGATTCCCTACATAGATATGTGGGAATTGTTATTTACACCTTTTTGAAAACAGCTGTAAATATATTGAAATAAATAACCAGAAAAATTAAAGATTAGAATAAATTTACATAAAATCAATATTGATATTTTCCGATATACAGACTATATAACTGGGTAATTACTCACTGGGTACAATAATAATTACTCACCAGGTACAATAATAATTACCCACTGGGTACAATAATAATTACCCACTAGGTACAATAATAATTACCCACTAGTACAATAATAATCCTCATTAAATTAAGCAAATTCATTTTAAAATCAAAAATAAAATTTTGTTATTTTTAATATGAGTTTACGAAGATTTAACTAAATAGTAGAGCCCACCTGGGCTCTACATGGGTCCCACTTATCGGGTGACCTGCACGCACTTATTTGCACAGGTAATATAAACCCTAGAAAAGAAATAGCCAATCAGAGTACACAAAATTTGATTGTTCCGAATCAGCCCAACATGAATTCTGAACATGTGCAAAAGAAGAAAAAAGCAAAAATACTCAAAAACTAGTAATTAAATCGACTTTCATGCACTAATTAAAAATTTTAGAAATGAAATTTTACATATAACAAGCAATAATTTATTGTTATAGACTCTAATGTTAACGCTCTAACCCTAAAGTTTATCTTTACGCACTTAGTTTATTTACAAAATTCGATTTTCTTTTTTGGTTTATATTACCTGCGCAAATAAGTAAACTGCAGGTGACCTACCCAGGTTCTACCCGGGTGCCAATAGCCTACTCGTCGAGGTATCCACTTATTTGTGTGAGTAATACAAACCTCTAAAAAGGATAATAGCCAATCAGAGAACACAAACTTCAGATATTCCAGATCAGCCTGACATAGAATTCGAACACGTGCAAAAGAAGTAAAAAAGAAAAGAAAGCGAAAATACGCAAAAATTAGTGTTTAAATCAATCTTGGTTGACTAATAAAAAATAACAGGGATGAAATTTTATATATAAAAAACTCCAACTTATCGCTAAAGATCACAACCCTAATGCCTTAATCCTAAACTTCTATTTTTACGCACTTAGTTTATTTACAAAATTTGATTTTATATTACCTGTGCAAATAAGTAATTCGCCCGTTGGGTGACCCGGGTAGCATTTTTTTTAGACAGGTTCAATTACTAGCTGGTGCATTAAATTTAAAGCATTTACTTTCTGTCATTATCTAGTAGAATGTTTCTATGCACACTCTTTTCAGGATTATTCACAAAGAGCAAAATATATAGTGGTTTTATGAGTTGGGGCTAGGGTATGTGTGTCTTTAAAGAATGGAGCGTACAGTTATAGAG